CCATAAAAGAAGGTAATAGTAAGACACTTAGATATCTTTCCTTTTTCAGTCTATGAAATATATGTAAAGCAAATTTGTATGTTTTTAACTAATTCAAATGTTTTGACTAATGGCAGATTCTAAACTGAATATATAACCTCTTGGTATGATTACTTTGAAGGCACTACTAAGTATAGAAGGTTTTGGTATAGTTTTTAAAACACCAAAACACTGTGTTCTATTATCTTTACATCTGATACATACCAACAGTCAGTCATTGTTAAGTAAGAATTTATTTTTAATATTTTTAACATCACAGAGTCAGTATTGGTGAAGAACACAGTCTCCTAAGACAAATTGCTACTTCAATTCCTGGCCCTTAAACTTACTAATTTTGGGAAAGTCATTATAACCTTGGACAGGTAATATATTTTAATTTCCTATAAGAAGGACATAAGTAATAGTATGTATCTGTAAAGTTGTGCAATTTTAATGTGTAGTATATGTGAAGCATTTAGAACAATTCTCAATAAATGTTAGCTATTACTATTAGTACTATTATTTCTTTTCATTCAGTGTCTTGGTGGCTGAAAGCATCTGGAAAATTGGTAAGTTTGTGGAGTTACTACAGAAGAATGAATAAGGTGGAACTATGGTAGGATATCCATTGTATATAAAATTGTATATGTATGTATATACATATGGATATATATGTTTGTGTGTGTGTATATATATGCTTATTTTGAGAGAGAACACGCAAACAGGAGAGAGGCAAAGAGAGAGAATCCCAAGCAGGCTCCATGCTGTCAGTGTAGAGCCTGACACAAGGCTGAAACTCATGAATTGTGAGATCATGACCTCAGGCAAAATCAAGAGTTCCACGCTCAACCAACTGAGCCACCCAGGCTCCCCTATCCACTATATATTTTTAAGTGGAATAGTTACAGTGTGATCCCCTTTCTCTCTCCATAGATGGATAGACAGATAGATATACAGATAGATCCATATCCATCAGTTACTATAGATAGTATGTATCTCTATATGCCTCTATACACACATATACATATATACAATAAAACTTTGGTTTGTGAGCCTGATTAGTTGTGGAAACATGCTTGTAATCCAAAGCACTCGTATATCAAAGCGAATTTCAAGAACCATTGGCTCGGTTGTGATCTTGTGACATTTGGCATCACGTACTACTTGTATTGCAAGATGTTGCTTGTTTATCAAGTTAAAATTTATTAGAAATGTTTGTTTGTCTTGCGGGACACTCTCAGAACAAGTTATTCACAATCCAAAGTTTTACAGTATATGGTACGTATGTATGGTATATGTTTGTGTAGAGAGAGATCCACCAAACCATTCGTTGTGGTTACCTCTGGTGAGTGGGATTGTAGTGGTGGTTGAGACTCTCTGGAGAATGTCTTTGGTATAAAAATTAAAAATTAGGCACTTCATTTAATATTAAATTCATCATTCTGAAAATATTTTATTAATCTCCTACATTCTTAAGTTGTTAGGAATTGGTTTTACTAAAAATAAAAAATAAAAAAAATACTAATAACAAAAGAGGATATATATTTTGGGGGCACTTGGGTGTCTCAGTCTGTTAAGTGTCTGAGTTTTGATTTGGGCTCATTTCATTATCTCATGATTGGTGGGATTGGGCCCCGTGTCAGGCTCTGTGCTGACAAGTGGGATTCTCTCCCCCTCACTCTGGCCCTCCCCTGCTCTCTTACGTGCTCTCTCTCAAAATAAATAAATAAACATTAAAAAAAAAAATTTTTTTTTGAAAAGGAATTACTTTCCCTCTTGAGGAAGTTGGAAGGTACATAAAGGAGATAGATTGCTACCTACATGCTTGATATTTTTCTTTTACTTTTAAAAGTATATTTTAAAATATAAAAGTAGCTTTATTGTATTCAGGTTATAAAAACCATAAATGTTTGTTATGGAAAACTCTCAGGGGAAATGATACTTGATACTCCTCTAACACCAAGAGACCTTCCTTCTCTTGGGAAGTAGATGAGATTAATAGGCTATGCTTTTATGCATTGTTTTTAAACAAAGTACATACAGGGGCGCCTGGGTGGCGCAGTCGGTTAAGCGTCCGACTTCAGCCAGGTCACGATCTCGCGCTCCGTGAGTTCGAGCCCCGCATCGGGCTCTGGGCTGATGGCTCGGAGCCTGGAGACTGTTTCCGATTCTGTGTCTCCCTCTCTCTCTGCCCCTCCCCCGTTCATGCTCTGTCTCTCTCTGTCCCAAAAATAAATAAAAACGTTGAAAAAAAATGTTTAAAAAAAAAATCACATTTAAAAAAAATAAACAAAGTACATACAGATCTTTGTACTCCTTACTAGAACATGGGTTGCAAAAAAGAACTCTCAGTATGTATAAATTATCTTTAAAGTCTGTTTGAAATTGCCCTTGTTCTTTTATTTTTGTAGAAGTGAGAAGCCTATTACTCTTCTCTTATTTGAATAAAAGAATATTATGGTTAGTGTTATGAGTCTAATATTTCTTCCCTGGGTTAGTGATAAAAACTATTCCCCATCCCACCCAAACTGTCACCCAGTTGTTCCTACAAGGGCATGGTTGTAGGCTGCAGGCAAAAATCCTGCATTGGTTTCTTACCTGGTCAGGACCTCAGTACTATTCAGACAGTTTATGAATGCCATCTTTGGTGGAACAGTGCAGATAATACCAAGGTAATAATTGATATTATTAAATAGGGACTGAAAAGAAAGTGAATGAAACCTTTCATCTCTATTGGTCTTCTGCAGTTGCTATTTTATTGCAAACAAAGTAATCAAGGAAAAGGAGAGAAAGCATTCCTAACTTCATGGGTCCTAGAGCAGTGTTTAGTATGGAAAATTAAACAATCTAGAAAATTATAAAGAAAAAAGTACAGTCTACTAGAAATTCCACTTCCTTACACCCATCCACTGTGTATACATTCTCATGTGTGTGCACATATGTATATACATAGACCTAATTTCTATATTTGTATATATTTGTGATCTTTAGAGGGCTTTTGTTTACATTCAGACTCTAAATCCTGAATTCCATATTGAAAATGTAACCAGGTTTGTTTCTTTTTTTATGTTAATTTTTTTTGAGAGAGAGAGCACATGAACAGGGAAGGTGCAGAGAGAGAGGGGACAGATGATCCAAAGCAGGCTCTGGTGACAATAGAGCACGCAATGAGCAATTTGAACTTGAGCGGTGAGATCGCCACCTGAGCTGAAGTTGGATGCTCAACCCACCCAGGTGCCCCTCATTCAGAGTTTTTTAAAGATTTGGTTGTTGACAAAATATATTGACCCTCATCTTTTATGTTTAGTGACAGATACCTGTACCTAACTTAATGGACATAAAGCTGAAAGTTTTATAAATTACAATTTGGGTATACTAATATTTTTCTGCTGATTTATAATTTGGGATTTTTTTTTTAATTTCCACTTAATTTCCACTGGAAATTAAGTGACAATAAACCTAAACATTTTCCTATTCTTTATAAAAGTACAATGTGCTTGTTAGAATAATTTGCAGATTGCACAGATGTTCAACTAAGAAGATAATTCTTAGGGGCATGGGTGGCTCAGTTGGTTGAGTATCCGACTTTGGCTCAGGTCATGATCTCGAGTTTGTGGGTTCAAGCCCTACATCAGGCTCTGTGCTGACAGCTCAGAGCCCGGAGCCTGCTTAGGATTCTGTGTGTGTGTCTCTCTCTGCCTCTCCCTTGTTCGCAATCTCTCTCTCTCTCTCTCTTTCAAAAATAAATAAAATGTTTAAAAAAAATTTTTTTTTAAAAACAAGATAATTCTTGGATCCTATCAGAGGTAACACTATCCTAGCAAACTGTTACCTTCCAGCTTTAGCTACTTGAATCTACAAAAAAAAAAACATTTTTTAAAAACCAAATTGTGGGGCGCCTGGGTGGCGCAGTCGGTTAAGCGTCCGACTTCAGCCAGGTCACGATCTCGCTGTCTGTGAGTTCGAGCCCCGCGTCAGGCTCTGGGCTGATGGCTCGGAGCCTGGAGCCTGTTTGCGATTCTGTGTCTCCCTCTCTCTCTGCCCCTCCCCCGTTCATGCTCTGTCTCTCTCTGTCCCAAAAATAAATAAAAACATTGAAAAAAAAAATTAAAAAAAAAAAAAAC